AAATGACATTATCTACTCAAATCCATATACAGGTAATTGAAAAATCGCTGTATTAAGTTTAGAAGCATGGTTATTTTTGAAAAAAAAAAACATAAAATCATTTTTTGAGAAGCTAATTTTTAGACTTGGAACATTTGATATGCATCATCACACTTCATTTACTTTGTACTTACACCAAAAAAATTTTGTCACACTGAGTACCAATCACCCTGTATATTTTAACTGTAGGCAATACATTTTTAGGTTTATTTAGTTCCCAAAATGTATAGTTCATTAAATTTTTTAGGTAGGTTTTCGTGAATATTTTTCATTTCAACACTTGACAACCTTTATTCAAATATAAAACCTCACCACAAAAGTATCTACATACAGCTGCGAGGCGATACAAAGGTGTTGTGGCGAGTGGAGACGGATGTAGTAACCTTTGCGCGTAAACAAACCCAGTGTGGTCTAACACACAGTTGTGTCTTTTAAATTCCCTCGTAGTTTCCAACATGAATTTCCCTCCTTTCAAAATGTTCAAAGGTACATTCTATTTTGTTTTCTTTATACTTTGTTCAATGTCCACTGGCTTTGTGATATTGATAGTTGTAGCGTGCAGACGTATTTTACTGTCGTATATAGTAGCTTAGAACCAAAGAGAGGTAGAATCTGTACGTGTTGTTTAACTATGAAATAGTGAACTTACTCTCTAAGTATTCTCAAAAAGATTAGCCTATTACTAATATTTTTGCAATTCATGTCAAAAATCAAAGTAACAAACATCACTCCAATATATACCAAACTAATAGTGTGTCAGGCTCTTGAATAAAAACTGCTTTATTTAGTAAAAATTAGCATTTATTAATAAAGTGGAAAACTTGACACTACATCTTGATCAGAGTTCGTTCATGAGATACAAAAACACGAGACATAATCCTAGAAGCATAGAAAAAAGCTGAAATTGTTTAAATCTATACAGTAGTACCAAGGCAACAGCCTTAAATCAAAGACATAATAAATAAACATTATCTTAATATAAGTATATCACTTTATAACAAATATTAACAAGCTGTGTGGAAATTAAGAAATTTTAAAATATTCACTAACAGGTCACATACGTCCCTTCTTACAGAGGAGTGTGGTGGCTGGTGCAGGAGTCCGGCAGGATGGTGACCAGGAAACTTGTGGACCAATAGGGTTGTGAGCTGAGAGCGAAGCTGACTAAGCTCTTGAATGACTCTTTTCCCAGATTAGGTCACGTAAATTGTCTTCTGAGTCCTTGGAGGATAGTCAGCATCGTGGTTAATTGCAAACAGCTGTTGAAGCTGTCATCACAAAATATTGCTTCACATTTAAATATCTAGTGCACTGAGAGATATCTAAAGTTGTTTTATGTGCTACAATATCTACTCTCCGAGGACTCTTAAGCGTTTCTCGCAAAAATGACAGCGTATCAGAAATTGAGATACAATTCGAGGCCACCAGAGATAGAAATAATAAACACACCATAATCGGACGCGATGTGGAAACATAAATAAAGATTTTTCAAGAAGAACTGTTAATATTGGAATTATACTAATTTTAAATAATAACTTCGCCAATATTTCTGAAATTTCAGAAATATTGGCGAAGTTATTATTTAAAATTAGTATAAATAAAGATATTTCATAACGTTTAGTACACAATCACAAGTAGGCCTACGTTCAAATTTTAATCTTGTAACGCTTAATTACGTCAGCTTATTTTAACAATGACTCATTATATTAAATTCAGTAATATTATTGCATAGGATATTTTTATATTTTCTCTATTCCTATTAAACTTATTCAAAATACGTAAAAAGAAACTAGCAAACCTAGTTAATTAGTTCTGAATCAATCAGTACTTGAATGATTTTAAATCGTTTTAGTCGATGCCGTTTTTTAGCGCTCTGTAAACTAAAACTAAAACCTGAGTAGTTTCTGCCTTATTCAACCCCATTTTTACAACTAAAAATCGTGATTTTTCAGGTATTTATTATTCGATCTTTTTGAACTTGACATTGACGGAAAATTAAAAATGCAAAATAAAGTTTTTTTGTTTTTTTTTTTTAAATTAAAAATTTTTGAGTAATTTAGGTTTAAAAACTTTAAATGGCCGCCATTTTGAGATTTAAAGTTGAATGAAGATGATTTTTACCCCTAACATAGGGCTTCTTTACTTTAACCTACATACCAAGTTTTATAAAGACTGGTTGAAAAAAATCCAAAATTAAAATTGTTTATACAAATTATACAGAATGGCGGATATCTGGTTAACGAAGCGGTTTTGGAAAAAATGTTATTAGTTATTTTCTCTTTATTTTGACCCATAGAACTATTTCCCGGAGTTTGGCAGTTTACTTATGGACCTTACAATTTATAAGATAAGTGTAACGGTTAAAGTTCGTTTCTAAATTAAATGGTAGATGTAAAACCCTTTTTACGGCGTTTCCAACGAACAAAACCTGTTTCCTCTGCACCCTGATCCCGTTTCAAATCACGGATGTAACGGTAAGTTTTTAACATTTAAAAAATGTTAATTTCTCGCACAATTTATTTCTTTCTTCAGGACCTACATTGAGAAGTTTTCTGACCAGAGTGAAGCCCAAGAACAAAGATCAAGACACTAAAAATATAGCTTATAAAATAATGCTTCTAGGTGTCAAATGAGGCGACTCAAACCGTCAAATACATTCAGAATGGTGAAATACTAAACTGAATTAAACCTAATTAATTAGCAAAGCATTTTGGGGCAAATACTAAAACTTTACTTCTCTTGATAATTTTTTGTGGGGGTTCAAAAGACAAGCAGAATTAGCAAAATTGATCAGCATCTTCCAAGTTTGAATTTTCTCTCGTCTTTGAAAAACTCTTGCCTTTCAAAATGATTATACATATGGTTCTTGCACGGTTGCAGAATTTACCTAGGAACTACGTGTGCTTTTACCGGATTTTCTATCGTTTAGCTGATCCCCAAACGTTGTTGTAACTGGAAAGCATTTCTATAGGGAAATTACTCCGCAGAATGGCCTCTCGCAACTGAAAACGGCATTATTCACAAACTAAAGAATAAGTGGGTATTTTATTTATAGTCATTGAGAATACACTAGTCATCACAATCCATTCTAAAACTACATAACATTCATGATCACCTAAAACACTAAAATGTCCCTCATTAGCTTGGTAAAATCATAAATTGTCATTCGTTGTTATTTACATTACATTTATTGCTTTGAAATAAAAAAAACCTTTGCTGTTAGGTAGCCTTGACACTATTAAAATGAGCATCCTTTTTTACAATATAACGGTATAAATAGTTTTTAGGGATTTCTAGGGCCCCAGTGTTAAAAATTCAAATATTCCTTCTATCAATCTAATAATACTACGAAATTCGAATAAATGTGTATCTTAATCTCGTGGAAAAGTTCATTTGTAAAATTGTATAATTTATACCCCTCTTGAACCGTATAAGGACTGTACAAATGAGTAAATCTTTAAAGATCCAACTTTACAAACATAGCTATAAATAAGGTCGATCGGGACTCTTTGTTTTAAAGTGTTACGCTGAACTAAGCACGATTTACCGAGGATAACTTTTTGGTGACTTTAAAGCCCAGTTCACAAACAATACTTCCAACTCGGCCCTACAAAGCAGTCCCATATTGTTGAGTAAGCTCATGGATTTGGCGGGAAACAGTTTCATGTGGTGCACATGTTTATGGTGGTTTATTACGAATAACACTTTTCCATGATTATAACTACTACAAAATATGTACCACTATTTATCTAAAATTTAATAGGATAAAAATACAATTGTTTAAAATAACAAATGAGGTAGTTGTGATTATATAAATGTTGAAATAGGTATTGGTACCCTAAAGGATTTAAATATCAGTAGTATAAATTTTAATAACCTTATTTTGTTGCCTATATTCTCAATGTAAAGGTTTTATTCATCCTATGTAAATTTTGCAAGCTTATCTGGCACCTTCAGGGGTCTTCATTATTCATATGTTCTATAATAATGACATTAACAATAATAAATTTTAATTTTGAAACTTGTATGACACAAAATTCTAAACGTGATAGCTTAGATTAATGGAGATTAAGGAGTACAGTAGGTCAATTTGTTTAATGTATGGTGATAGCTATAATAATTTAAAGTTAAAACTTCATAATAATTCTTCTTCATTGAACCCATGTCATTTAACGTATATAACTAAATATAACTATCTAATGTTATTTCATCATTAAAGAACTATGACGATTTGATGTTTATTCAAACAAAACGATCTCAGACGAGGAAATAAACAGACCAGAAACGGTTCGGTGTGAAAATTCATCATATCAGCAGCTGGAATGGTTCTCTGTTTTTTGTTGAATCTAACTCTACGGGAACAGTGATAAAATAAAAATAAAAATAATAGACTTAGAGAATCGTATATTTGTGAAATCACTGATTATTTATGTTTGGCAAATTATGTGTGGTATCTGGTCAATTTCAATTTTTAAACTCCAGGATCATGTTAAAATAATGACTTCTGCTTTTTTAAGAAATTTTTTAAAACTAACAACCTAAGTTTAAAACTTGGTTGTGGGCTATTTGTCTCTTTTTGTCTACAAAGGTGGCATTTTTACAGGATAAATCAAAGGAGGTTGTATTTAAACGCTTTTAGGGAAAACTGCCCAAAGTGTAACCCCATGAACTACTTGTTTTATCAACATTCAAAGCTTACAGTAATAGAAAACTTACGTTAAAGACTCGGCCATATGTTATATTCCCTAACAAAACAACTTCTTATAGATTGTAATCAGAATTGTCAGATCCTCTGACACATCCTACCACCCAGACATGTGAGCTATGACGTAGAATGCCATATGTTACTCGGAGCTGACCTACACAGCCGATCACCTGGTGTCATTCAAGTCCAGCCAGCCATGAAGTCTGTGACCAATATGGTACCTCCATATGTCTACAATATATGCTGTATGTTACAGGGACCTAGCATGTGTATCGGTGACCGGATGTGGCGTCAAGTCGAACTAACGACCGAGAGGCATCGCTTCCGGAGCGAGTAATCGAACCTTTGACCTCTGAGCTGTAAAGGATGGACTACTGGACCTGTCTTGTTCTTTGGCATGCTCTCGCCATTCTAAATCATGGTCAGTGAACGTTTATAGCCTTTTCTGTGGTTGACTGAACTTTAATTCTTCTAACTTTTGATTTGTATTTTTTTTTCATTTCCTGCATTTTGGTGGTAGGAACCTCATGATTTTTTTTGTCATAGCTTCCAGTTTTTTTCCGGAACGCTAAACATGTTCAGGTGTGCTAAAAGAATTCTGGGACAGGAAGTTGTTTGATTTAATAAAAGTTATACAACGCAAATTTTTAACTATAATATAACTTTGTCTAAACAGTTGAAGAAGAAAATTTATAGATTAAACATAGCATTGCTTAAGGTAAAACAAATAACAATGAGTAGTAAAATGATGGTGGAAAATAAAACTCAATTTTACATAGATGAAATTTAATGTCCTCACCCATTCTCACTCACCCCCGTCTCCAAAAGGTTCGTTTCTCGGTTTCAAACAGTCAAATTAAATATGGACGCCCTAGTGTCATAGAAAGACATCCACTTAAGTAGTCTTAGAGATTTGTTTGAAATGAATTAATTTAAAGTATTTTGAGCTTCAAAATACTTTGAAGACTTATTCCCTTGAACTGTCTATATCATTTTTCCCTTGAACTGTCTGTAAATTTTTCTTTATGTTTACTTTTTTATTACGTTGTTTTTATTAGTCAAGTTAACATGGTTTCTTTTTTGTAATTCTAATTTTTCCATTTCCCAATCCAACAGAAGTGACAAGTACGTGACAATATGTCGCAGTGTGCAACTCATTTGCACTTTAAAATATAATTCGTTGAATCTAACCTGCTTCACCTGTATACTAGTGCTGCTTTCAGGCTTTAGTGGAACTTTATATATACATTCCAAAAGTTTTCTAAAAATCACAGTACTTGTTTAACTAAATAATTATTCAGTTTCATAAAAGAAAATTTGGATAATGCTCCAGTAGATTGATTTGAACACCGATGTGCAGCGGAAATAACCAATGTGGTACTTCGTTGATTGGTTATTGCCAATAGGTCGTAGAACCAACAAAGACTATTCTACATTTGATGTAGTAGTGGAGCTTTGGGTCGCCTTTAATGATCAACCGTATGCATACGACCACAGACAATTAAATAGCACTTTCTTTGGTACTGTGCACCATTTATGTTGGCTACACAATCGGTGGGTCAGTAAATTGCTTAATGTTGATACATTTGTTATAGCAATTGTATTACAATTAACCAAGAACTGTCAGCATTCATTTGGCAGCATTTAGCAGGTCAGCATACAAACCATAAAAATTATGATCTCTTAAGTCATGTGTAGTTATCGATCTTTCATGTAGAAAAAATCCATCATAGGCTAAATATGCTGCAAAATTGCGATATACACAATACAAATGATTAGACTTTGTTTTATTGGAGTCAAGTGTGGTAGTAATCAGAAAACCTCTTGCCATCAGGAGTAAAATATGTTGTGAAACCGCTCTTTTAATATACAACCAAAATGGCCAATGCGAAAGGTCCAACGAGTACAGATGATCACCAAAAATAGTTTTGAGTTTACTTTTCTGATGTGTTTATCAAACTATTTTATTCTTCAACAAGCCAAATAAGAAGAACCCTTAAATGTCAGTACAAGGCCAATTCTAATTACTGTTATTGAACTTCCAATTTAGGAAATGAGCCATCAATAGTCTCATAGTCAATAGCTCACCAATAGTCAAATAGTCTCATGGTAATACCTGGATATGGTAATACCTGGATTAGGGACCGATTTACTCTTTCATTTTGAGGTTCCTTTTAAATTAACTATTTTTTTTTATTAAGAATAAATATGACATGTGTAAAGAGTTATTTTTGAGAAAATCCGATCAGGCAAATAGGAATTTTCTTGTTCTGCAAATTTCCTGGGGCGGGGGTATTTTTAAACCCGAAAACTTTTCAAAATGGCTTGAATTTTAGCAGTTAACATCAATAGTGAATAATGTATGTCAATATGAGATTGTTATGTATCCAAACAACTTTTAAATAAAAACTTCAAGAATCTCTCGCGTTATACATTTGAAAACTTGAAATGATAATAACTTGACATCATTTGAAAACATAGAAGTTGTTTGCAACTAGCAAAGTTTCTAAGTAATGCATGTTCGTATTTTCTGTCTAGGGTAGGATTTAATTTATTCATAGTTCATTACGTATTCTGTTTGAATAAGGGCCCAAGATATATTACTGCATTATTGCTTATTTTATGAAGTAGTATAGAATTGAACATGAAAAGTTGAATATTTGTAATATATTACCAATACTTAAATAGTAACTCCTCTTTGTCAAAACTATTGATATCTCAAAATGCATGATACTGTAAAAAAAATTGAAAAGCTAATTAAATGCTCGAATATTTTATACAATTAATTTTCCACTTAATTAAAACCTCAAATAACGAATTTAATTTATTTCAATATGTTGCTGCGATTGTCCTTAAAACTTATATCTTAATATTTTGTTATTTAAACCGCCCACTGAAATAATATGAACAAAATTAAACCAAATTAAATGCAAAACCCAATTAGAGGCAATTTCAAACAATCAATCCACTTTTAGTACTACAGTATCAAACATCAAGCGTGCTAACCACATTTGCCCTATAGAGGGCTTTGAAGCCAAAGTGGCTACAGCAATGGCACTATGGCAGCCATTGAGTTGTGTATAAAGTGAATTGTGGTTTTGGGTAAACTACCAATGATGACCTCTAATGATAATTTTTAATCAAAATGTCAGTATATTCATTATAAGTGCTTTAGAAATAGGAATCTTTTTATCAATTGTTTCACTTAATGAAACCGTTTTATATAACAGTTGGAGCTTGTTAATGCAGTTCAGTAGTCTGTTTCTGATATGCTTACATAGCTTTGATATTGATTGTTTATTAGGATATTTTAAAGGTTGCTGACTGTGTACTCATCCACTTTGGGTACAATATTGAGCTAAGCAAGTGGTTAGGTTGTACATGAACAACAATCGACCAAACCAATAAATAATAGTTATAAATACTAGCTAAAAATAAATATTAGTAATGGCGTTCCCAGTATATGAACTTACAACAGCGCTTCCTCTTCCTTGGTTGTGTAGTCCATCGCACGACCGACAGGGAACTTACCGAACGAGATTTAAAAGTTTTTTTTAGATGTTTTTAGATTTAGTTTCTTATATAAAATATTTCAATGGTGATATACTTAAATAACATCGAAGCTTGTAGTTTATAATAGTCTATAAAAAGGTTTATGTTTACACAAATAAGGTCTATTCCAGGTGATTGTGATATTCCAATTAAACAATTTTCCAATATTACCAAGCGTACCATACGAGCATTTAACTAAAGTGATAGTACTATGTGTTAACTAAACGCCATAGAAAATCTATAAATTTGTTTTGTTGTAGTTTTCTAATATCTTGTCTGTATCGATGAATTCGCAATTAGAGTTTATTTGTGTAGTATCGAGAATGTACATTTCTAGTAAAATGATCACGTAATTTGAGGGATACAACTCTTTACATTCTCACACATATATCTTTAAGCTATTGTTGATTAACTGTATTTCACCCCATGCTATTGAGACCATACCTCATGTATTCTGTTCAAGCAGTAACCCTAAATACATGCAAGGTCAATTAGTCATTAAAATCTCTTCTTAAAAATGTTTTTTTCTTCATATAATCACATGTTTACGACGCTTTCATACGTCTATATGTAATATTTGATCTACCAACAAACAATATATCTCATACTTTTACACTGTAACATTATTAATAATTTTTCTACCACTTAATATATAGAGTTGAATTAAGCCATGTTAGATTTAGCTAAGAAAACAGAGCTAAAACCGAATATGGAATGTAACAAAGTTTAACTTTAATAAATTATTAAATGTGGTAACTGTGTGACCTTTTGCTAGAATGTCGTTTTTAACATAAATTCAGTTTGTTCTTATCGACACGTGGGAACTTCTGGGAAACGTCAGATGTGGAGTAGCACAACGGATAAATTTAGAATGAAAACCCGCGTTCGTTTATAGCTTGTTATTATAACTAGCATGAACATTATAAAATTTAAATAGTACTTTGTATTGAAACAGCAAGATTCAAGTCATAAACGTGTAATAAACATTTTAACTTCATATTTTCATTTCATGTACAGTTAAATATAAAATAATATATCTTAAAACGTTTTGTGGTAAAGTAAAACTATCTAAACTTACACTAGACACTTACTGTACTTTTTTGTGAGTCGGTAGCTCAGTTGGAAGCACCACGGATTTCAGGCCCAAGGTAGCGATGTCGTGTTTTCGGAACGTGGTACCTGCCACTTCTTGTTATCAGTGCAGTTCACCCTTGTAATGTACCGGTTTACCCCTTACTTTGATATATACTACGCTCAGGCATCTGTGGCCAGCATCGACGGACAAATTAAAGGTAAAAGAAGTAATCAACTTCTTAAAAGAAATTACCGAACGATAAATATTTATAAACTTGATGTTACTCATCAAGCCTATCGGATAACTCTTCATCATGTGATTGCAATTGATCTGTTAAATAATCAGTTGTAATAGTATGTTAAGTAATGTAAATATTTCATATTAAAAATACAATTGTTTACAAATAATTGTTAAATGGTTGCTTTCGTTGCGGTGATCATAAGATATAAGTCTACATATTAATGGTTCTAAAAATGTTGTTAAGAAGATATTATTAGTAGGCCTATGTTTGATCCAAAATTAATTGTACAAGTTGTTCCAATACAAACTAACTATTTACTACTAATGGAAACTCGTCAATCACTTTACAAGCCTGCTAACTGACAAGATGTTTGCAACACTGTTATGGTTAGTTTGTTCGTAAATCTTATTTTGTAAGCAGTTGTTAGAAATAACCATTTCGTTGAGAAATCCCTTTCCTGTAGACACCTTATTTTCAATAAATGTTCGGTGTTGCAGTATTTTTTTAAGTTAAAATAAATCTATTATACATGTTTTCTTTGCGATTAAAAGTT